GGAACCTTCCCATCTGACTGATATCAGCATAGATTAGCAATAGATTCAATTCATTCTGCTTTGACAATGATATTAGTCTGGCCCGTTTCTGAGTCTCCAAACTGCACCGTTTTGGTGGGTTGGATTTCATAATTTTGCAAGGGACTGTCTGGGTCTTAAAAAAAGAAAGCCTGTTACATTTATGAATATTGCTGTTCATCCTCAACATCCTTTTGACCCACAAAACCTAACTGTGGGGCCCACGTGAAATGGATTGTGTTCCTCTGCGCAAACTGCATTCTACCTGGGGCCAAAGAAACTTGTTCTGTTAGGGTACATCTAGACTACATGCCTCTTTCACCAGAGGCATGTAGATTAGGCTACCAGGCATAGGAAAATGAAGCGGCGATTTAAATAATCGCCGCTTCATTTATATTTAAATGGCTGCCACGCTGAGCCGATCAGCTGTTTGATGATGCTCCTGGGATGAGGTATACCTGGGTGGTCAACAAATACCTTTGATGTCGACACCTTCATTTAAATTTACATGGCTACCGCGCTGAGCCGACAAACAGCTGATCGGCTCAGCGCGGCAGCCATGGAAATTTAAATGAAGCGGCAATTATTTAAATCGCCGCTTCATTTTCCTATGCCTGGTAGCCTAATCTACGTGCCTCTGGCAACAGAGCCGTGTAGTCTAGACGTACCCGTATTCTGAAGATACTAGTTGTTCTTATCTAACTAATCGACATGCCTTGTATAAAGGAGAATAAGTAACTGGACAGATGGGGAACAGAAGTACAAAGGTAATGATTTTCCCCAGGTCACACAGTTGAATTGAGGCAGAACCGGAACCTGAATCCGGGTCTCTAGACCAGTACATGAGTCGTGAGACTATCACACACTCTCAATCCATGTAGCTGCCCCTGCAGAAGTCATAGGCAGGATAGTAGATCCGTGGCATTGTACTGTGGCTAAAACATTTGCCCACAACCCCAGCCCGCCAATGTGAGTGTATAAATATAAATACAGCATGGGAGAGAACCAAATTCACAGACAGAGAATGGCGCAGAAACTTATTCTGTCAGTATATGGCTAGATTTACATGTTCAATGCACACATGAGCTCTCAACTAGGGATGTTAAAATGTGGGTAATTTGGCAACTATGTAACCGCTGCAAATTTCAGCAGTTACACAGTTTCACGCATCTGCAGGGCAAGGTGGCAGCCAGCTCCCTGGGAGGCCAGCAGCTAGTGCGTTCTGGCCCCGCTCCCAGGACCACCCTGCCTCCGCATGCTGCTGCCTCTGTATCAGAGGCAGCAGTGGGGGTGGCAGCCAACTCCCCAAGAGCGGGGCAGGAGCCTGCATATAACCATTCATTCCTACTCTCAATCTTGTCTGTAACCACCGCACGACGTGCCTTTCTGTTGGAAAGCTGCTGCCACGATGTGTTGTAGCTGGGCCAAAGCAGGGAGGGCGTCAAGATGCAAATACTAATTCCATAGATACCTAATTCTGTTCCTTACCTTCCAGCTGTCAGAGTGAGTCCTTGCCATTCGCGGCAGCCTTCCATAATCTCCGATGCATCAGCAGCAGAAGGTGATCGGTCATCGACGCCAAGTGACATCAACTCGCCTCGGCATCGGACGCATTCCCTCTGCAATGTAAGGCGGTTGTGAAGGTCGATTGTATTCTCTTAGCATCTGTGTCAGTGTTTCTAACTCTAACCATCACTCTTCCCTGCTTGTCTTTTGTCACCCCTTCTGATGGGGGCTGAGCCAAAGCCCACTAGCAACAAGGCAAAACCTCCCCTTGGGCTTTTAGTCAGGTTGTTGATGTAAATCCTGTATTTAAATGAGACTTAAAAGTATCCACATACCAACTAGGAGTGGATTCTCCACTACCTTATCAGTCTACACTACGGGGCAATGCTGACTTAAGATATACAACTCCAGCAACATGAACAGCATAGCTGGAGCCAATGTACCTTAGGTCGAGTTGCCGCAGAGTCACCACTATGGTGTGGGTGGGGGGAGTGCCTTATGCTTCTTGTTCCGGTGGAGTACCAGAGTCCACAAGAGAGTGATCAGCAGTTGATTTAGTGGGTCTTTACTAGATCCACTAAATCGAACCCGTGGGGGATTGATCCCTGCAGCGCCAATCTCCTGGTAAGTGTAGACCAACCCTCTCTGTATTGTCATTTGCACCTCTGCAAAGCGAGTTTCCCTGTTGCCCATAGTTGCTGAGGCAATGGGGAAGCAACGTCGCTCTTTTCAAGAGCTGTGCAAAAAATGGTGCATTTTTTTTAAAAGGAAACTAAAATGTCCCAAAGAAACAGCTATAGTTTTTATTCCAGGCTGTCATTTTTGCAGTTTATTGGAATTTATTGGAATGACGGTTTCCCTAACTACACATTCAGAATCTCTCAGGTTTCCATGGGAGGAACAAGCTTCAGCACCATAAAAAATTACGAACATATTTAAAAACGGGTCCATTTTTCAGCTGGACCTGGACTGAGACTAGCAAAGTGCTTCTCCCCTCAGGCTCCATTTTAAAGCTTTTGACCGAATACATGCAGCGCTTTAAAGTTTCTCATCGTGTGATAGCCCCTTTCCTACTCCCCCATTAAATCAAAATTGAGCCACTTAGACCAAGTTTGGCTCTAACCTTTCAAGTTCCTCTGAATCAAACTTGAGAGCTATGGACATACATGAGCCAAAATAATTGTAGCCAGTGCTTTTTTTGTTGTTAATAAAAATAAATAAATAAAGGCAAGCCAGGGTGGGGCCAGCATTGCCCTTTTAAGAGACATGGCCCTTTTAAGACATGTGGCCCAGCTGACTGACAGACATTTGAGGTACCAGTACACTCCGTTCTTTCCAAGTAAGCTCTGGTACTGAATACCGGAAAGTACTGTCACAAAAAAAGCACTGCTTGCAGCACTGAGGACAGAACTTAGCAATCTCCCCTCTCCAAAAGTACAGGCTTAAGTTTAAAGGAGAACCTCCTTTAGCTGAGAGTATAAAGGGTTATATTTTCTCTAAGCACTAGAGGGAGACATGATCATATGCACACACTGGTGGGAAAAATCCACATTTCTGCTCTCCTTTAAGACTGGTATAAATCTACAGTTGTTACTCTTGCTGTGGAACGGTGTAAATGAGCGCGAAATTTGGGCCTTTTGATTCAGGTGGTTGGTTGGGTTTTTTTTAATTTGGAGGAGGGGAGAAAAGAGAGAGCTTCCAAACTGAGACTGGCAGCTTTTTCTGCTAATGAAAGAAACTGAGAGAGGCCCGAAATCGGCTTGAGTAGTGCTAGAATTGGTTTCAGTGACTGGAGCGACGGCATGGAAGAGAATGTTTCAAAGTTCAATGGAGAAAATAAATTGGAAGGTGCAGGAAACATCGCAGTGAGAGAGCAGAGGGTTCTGTAGTTAATAATTAAGAGATCCTGGCTAACAGATGCAGATAAATGTAACTTAATTCTAGGAGCAGCGTTTAGCTAGTGAGCATTGGCCAGATAAGAAAGCCCAGCAGCATGCGCAGACTAAGGCAACTGTCTATGAGGAGAACAATCCACAAGCCCCTCAGGCAATTCACCCCTGCAGTGAAGGAGAGAGAGCTGGGGAGAGGGGAGAGACTGTGCTGAGCAATCGGAAGAACAGGGTGTGAGGACTGGCTGGCTCCATGGATCAATAACAGACCCGTTAGCTGGGGGTCAGCAGCTAAAGTCCAGCTCACGTCTGTAAGGCGTCTGATGGCTGCGGAGCGACCGGTGTGAACTGAGTGGGTAGCGTTCATCTCACTCCTAGAGGCTCGCGGCACCTCTCACTGGCAGGGAAACCAATTCTGCACGTGAACATTAATCCAGAATAAGGGACGATATGGATTTAAAGCAGATTCACTATTCCTGATTCAGGAATACAGGCTTGTCTAGACCGACAGGTCACGGCAAGCTGGGATGTAAGTCTACCTCCTCCTAGCCAGGTCCGCCCCGAGCCATTCTTGTGCGCTAGGCAACGGGCGCGCCCGCATGCGCGACCCCCCCCCCCCAGGCGCATGGCACCTGATTGACGTGTACAGGGCGCCACGCCCCCAGGTGTGCGGCGCATGTGCAGCCTGCCCCCGGGCGGCAACCTATTGGGGGCGCCTGATGCGGCGCCCCTTAACACTTCAATCAGGTGCCCCCCCATAGGTTGTCACCCCGGGCAGCTGCCCAGCTAGCCCCCCTCTTAATCCGGCCCTGCTCCTAGCCTACCACACACTGTGTCCAAACCAGAACCTGGTGCTAGGCAAAGCAGTTTCTTTGTGTGTTTTGATCTACCCCTCTTTGAAATGGGAGCAAATCAAAGCGCACAAGGGAACTTTCACTGCACGACAGCAGTGTCCAGACAGCCAATTAGTGTGCAGCAGGCTTGTGCGGGGTAGATTTTTCACCTCCGTTTACTGTGCACTGTTTGTGTAAACAAGCCCTAAGAGTGCCCGATTTCAAGTTAGTTTAACTAGCAATCTCATTCCAGAATAAGGGCATCCACACATGGCATTAATCAGGAATAGCTAATCTGGAATAACTCACAGTGGAGACAAGCCCTTAGAGCCAACTTCTAGTGACACAGATTTGTTTGTGTGGCTTTTGTCGTTTGACAGTCATGTGGCTGTTCCTCCCTCCTAGTTGAAATAGTTTGCGTGTGTGTGTGTGTGTGTGTGTGTGTGTGTGTGTTACTCACACACACACACACACACCCTCTTCCATATACAGCTCTCAGGTATGAAACGTTCAACTTAGTGGTCAGGATTTTTTACTCCCTGGCTGTGTCTAGACTTGCCAGCTGTCTACACTGGCCGCTTGAATTTCCGCAAAAGCACTGACAATCTCATGTAAGATTGTCAGTGTTCTTGCGAAAATACTATGCTGCTCCCATTCGGGCAAAAGTCCTTTTCCGCAAAGGGCTAGTGTAGACAACTCCGATTTGTTTTCCGCAAAAAAGCCCCGATCGCGAAAATGGCGATTGGGGCTTTTTTGCAGAAAAGCACATCTAGATTGGCACGGACGCTTTTCCGCAAAAAGGTCCATGCCAATCTAGACGCTCTGTTCTGAAAATGCTTTTAATGGAAAACTTTTCCGTTAAAAGCATTTCCGGAAAATCATGCCAGTCTAGATGTAGCCCCTCTGTTTGGTTAGTATTAAGATGGTGCTTCCTGGCTAGGTCAGAACACAAATGGGCACAAAATGCGGCATCTTCCAAAATGCTTTTGCAAGCGAAATAGCAAGGTCAGTTCCTCTTGGGTCCTGGACCTTCCCATATATAGCGTCCCGCAACCTGATAGTGCTGTAGATACATTACAAACCGGTGATAGAGGAAGGCAGGTCTCCCCTCATTAAAGAGGGGCCAGCTTCAATCCTCCTCACGGCATTTTTTGCTTGACCAATTACACCTAGTACCAATGGCATGAATCCAGATGAGTTCAGGGAGAAGATCTCAGTCTAAGGGAGAGTAAGTTGCTGTAAAATCCAAGCTCGGGGGTACTAAAGAACAGAGTAGAGGTAGTAAAGCAGACCGGTCTCCGCAGCAATTCAATCCAACTCCTGTCTTTTTTTGGTCCCTTGGCATGTCTGTTTCACCAAAGTATGCTCCTTTCCATCTGCCCACCATGTGTCAATCATACCCATTGCTTTCAAACCTGGCCTGATGTGAATGAATATGACAAACTGTGGCATTTCCTATGCCAGTCCAGAACTAATGGTGCTAGACAGCGGCAGACCAACTCAGAACAGCATAAATGGTAGCTCCAGATGAGTCTGTTTTTCTTTAAAATCTTGATCCATCACCCAACATGAGTAAGGACCTGGACCAAAATATCTGTGTTCATCTGGATTTTAGTTTTGTTACTAATGTGTTGGGAGGGTGTATCTGATAAGCCGCAGAACTTTGAATGTTTCTCAGAACTTCTCTGGCTTGCAAAGATGGAGTGGGATTCTCATGAGAGAAAGGTGCAAGGAGTAAAGGGAACAAAGGCTTAAATGAATCTTGTCTTCGTTCAAGGGAGTTTGGCTGAGTTCAGCGGATTCTGATTGCATCCAAACTCATTCACTGTTCTTTATATTGAGATTCTGATTTTTCCCATGTTGGAATCTTCCTCCTGGCTGCCTTTAGCCTAGTCTATATGGCTATAAAAGAACAGGGGAAATACAGTTTTACCTGCCTGAGCATATGATCTTCGCTTAGAATTGTTTGGTGTTTAATGTTGAAGCAACTTTGCTCCACCTATTGCTTTGAAGGCCAGAAATAAGCAGGATTTCTGCAGAGAAAGTTGCTGGCTGTGCATGTATAGCCCCAGGCCGGTTGTGTTGTAGCTAAGCTGTGTGGCACACACTACGGCCGTTTATGCTGTTGCAATGAAATCTGTCTCCTCCTACCTGTAGGGGGATAGTCCTGGACCGGTACAGAAGAACTTGCACAACCCAATTGTACAGGTAGGAAGTCAATTGCCTTTTTCCAGCAATCTACTAATGAAATGCAATTAATGCAATGTCTCTCTCTCTCTCTCTCTCTCTCTCTCTCTCTCACACACACACACACACACACACACACACACACACACACTCTCTCTGTCTTTGCAGAGGCCACAATCTACTAATGAAACGCAATTAATGCAATGTCACACATACACACATTGCAGTCTCTCTGTCTCTGCAGAGGCCACACACACACACATTGCAGAGGCCACACTCATGTGAAATGCTGATAGGACACTTCCAGGTATATCTGCACACCATGGTAGGGAACTTCCATCAGCTTAGGAAATGGGCCTGAATCAGAACTCTTGCTTGGAGCGACCCTGAGCTTTAGATCCAGATCTAAACTTTCTGACCTTGGCCCACTGCCAGTCGAGATGGGAGAAGAGTTCAGTCATCATGTTTGGCTGATTTGGGGCATACGAACGAGGGTGCAAGTGTAGACGTACCTGAGATTTTCAAAGCTACCCAAGGAATTTGGATGTCCACAGACTCCCCGGTCCCTTAGATGGGGATTTTTGAAAGCTAACTATCTTAGTGTTTTAAGGCTGCTGCCCATCACCATAGCATCTGGGCACCTTCTGCAAGAAATCAGTCATTATAGCAAAGTCCCCAGTGGCCTCCATGGAGTCTCTGGGTCTTCTCCCTTCCCCCTGATGTTTCCTTCTCCCCACTGACTCCCCCCACCCCTCCCCACCAGAACCTGGCTAGATTGTTGGATCCAAAGAATAGTGATCAACGGTTCAATGTCAGGTTGGTGATTGGTTTCTAGCGGAGCGCCCCAAGGATCAGTTCTAGGGCCGGTTTTGTTCAAAATCTTTATTAATGACCTGGATGAGGGGATGGATTGCACCCTTAGCAAGTTTGCAGATGACACTAAGCTAGGGGGAGAGGTAGATATGCTGCAGGGCAGGGATGGGGTCCAGAGTGACCTAGAGAGATTAGAGGATTGGGCCAAAAGAAATCTGATGAGTTTCAACAAGGACAAATGCAGAGTCCTGCACTTGGGACGGAAGAATCCCAAGCATTGTTACAGGCTGGGGACCGACTGGCTAAGCAGCAGTTCTGCAGAAAAGGACCTGGGTAGTACAGTGGACTAAAAGCTGGTTATGAGTCAACAGTGTGCCCTTGTAGCCAAGAAGGCTAAGGGCATATTAGGGTGCATTAGGAGGAGCATTGCCAGCAGATCCAGAGAAGTGATTATTCCCCTTTATTTGGCTCTGGTGAGGCCACATCTGGAGTATTGTGTCCAGTTCTGGGCCCCCCACTATAAAAGGGATGTGGACGCACTGGAGAGGGTCCAGTGGAGGGCAACCAAAATGATTAGGGGGCTGGAGCACATGACCTATGAGGAGAGGCTGAGGGATTTGGGTTTGTTTAGTCTGCAGAAGAGAAGAGTTGAGGGGGGATTTGACAGCAGCCTTCAACTTCCTGAAGGGAGGTTCCAAAGAGGATGGAAAGAGGCTGTTCTCAGTAGTGACGGATGGCAGAACAAGGAGCAATGGGCTCAAGTTACAGTGGGGGAGGTCTTGATCGGATATTAGGAAAATCAATTTGACTAAGAGGTTGGTGAAGTCCTGGAATGGGTTCCCTAGGGAGGTGGTGGAATCTCCATCCCTAGAGGTTTTTAAGTCTCGACTTAACAGAGCCCTGGCTGGGATGATTTAGTTGGGATTGGTCCTGGCTGGGGCAGGGGGCTGGACTTGATGACCTCCTAAAGTCTCTTCCAGCTCTATGATTCTATGACCTTTTCTCCCAGACTGTTTACTGTAGATGTTCATGTGTTCTTCCCCTTCTTTCTTCTCCCTCCACCTTCCAGTCTCTAGAGGACCTCGAAGACCAAAAACGAAAAAAGAAGAAAGAGAAGATGGGATTTGGTTCCATCTCCAGGGTATTTGCCAGAGGAAAGCAGCGGAAATCCCTAGACCCGGGCCTCTTTGATGGTACTGCTCCCGATTATTACATAGAGGAAGACGCAGACTGGTGACCTTTCCCCTCCCCGAGCTGGTAGCTTGCCTCCTTCCTCTGCTGCCGGTGTGTGTGTGTGTGTAGGTGTGTGGCTGTGTGTGTGTGCGTGCGTGTGTGCACGGATGCATCTAACTCAAAAAAGTGAGCCTTTTCCTCTGCGTCGCCACTTCTGTAACTGATGTACATACTACAAACCAAGCCTGTGCGTGACTATGTTAACTGTTGTCTCTTGGAGCGATGCAGTTGTGTTGTAATCCTCTTGTTTTGTTTCTATTTTTGTTTTGTTCCTTTTTTTTATTTTGGTTTTCGATTTTTTTTTTCTTCATAATGAAACTTGAAACTTGAAGGACTGCTGTGTATTTGTAAATAACAAAAAAAAAAAATATTGTGCACTTTGTGCTTGTGATGTCTCTTGTCCAAAAACGCTGTTTCCTTGAACCCCTCATGTCGGTGCAGTCTGTATCTGGTATGTTCGAATAGTCGGGAGTTGGAGGGGACAGTATCCAATTCACAGGGTGCACCTGAGTTCCATTTACATTTGGCTTTGCCTGGCCAGAAAGACCTTAAAATCTCACTCAATGTGGTACCTTCCTGGCCAAAATCTGAGAAGCCAACACTTCTCTTTTTCATGCCTGCCAGTCTGGTTTAACTTTCCTTTGATTGTTTTTTAGTTTAATTTATTTGTGCAAATCCAGAAGAGCTATTCTAACTAAATTATTGCATAAAGATTTGAATTTATATTTTTCCACGGTGGTTTGGAGGGTGGGGGGAGATGGGTGTGTTTATATTGTACTGCTCTATTAAACTGCTGCCTGCAGAACTAGGGTAGGATTGGGTAGAAGCTGAGAGAATCAGTTTTTCTATTTCTGTCTTTGTGTTTTTTCCAAATGAATTTCTGTTGCATTTCTCTCTCTCTCTCTCTCCTGCTAACGTTGTATACATTCCCTGATCCGTAGTCAGTTCAGACAGCAGGATCAGGGACCCAGATGCTATATAGAAAGTAGAACCCGGTCTGATATCTGTAAATGTCTTTATTTAAACTATGAAAATGCTTAATGTATTGGAAAAGAGCAAATAGATATTTATTATGCACTAATGTGGAGGACAGTGTTAATTAGACTGCAAAGCAGGCCAGAGTTTTCTGTACTGTATATATTTGGAAGGAAGCACTGACCTTTACTTCGATTGTATTTTCTGTCCTCGGAAACATACAATTAGCTTTTGCCTCAAGTCTGTAGTTTTCCTATATACTGCATTCAATTGGCTAATTACTAAGAAAGGGGGATAAAGCACATTTTAAAGAACCAAGGCCAATTCAGCAATCCGTCTCTGCAGGAAAGTACTAGAGTCCCATTGACATCAATGTAACTTAATCCCTTGCTTAAAGTTACATGCTTTGTTGAATGGGAACCTAAGGGCATGTCTACACTGGGAAGTTATTTCGAAATAACAAGGTGAGCCATTTTGAAATAATGGGTTTGTTATTTCAAAGTAATAACTCCTGCTTGTGAAGAGGAATAAGCGTATTTCAAAATAGTTATTTCAAGAGTTATTATTTCAAAATAACCTGGTAGTATAGACATAGCCCTAAGAGCATCAGAGTAAAATAGGGAGTGCAGAAATATCAGGAAATAGCAGTAGCTGAGAGACTTGGGGAAATACTGGAAAACTGGACTGGATCTAATGTGATTGTTAATCCTGGGATATTAATTTTTTCTGTAAGAAAACTGGTCTGGATCTAGGCAACTCCTGTCATTCGTCCCACAGTGCAGCAGTCTAATAGCTTTGGTACCCCCTGGAAAGCAAAGTGGTCAGTTGCATCTCTTACCACATATTTGGGGGCATTGTTTCCTTCTAACTCTGCTTCACAAGCAAACAAATGGGCATTTTGGAAAGATCAGGCAATTTGGTGCAGCTGCTGCTTAAACCATGTCTGCTCGTTCTCTTCTAAATTCTACTGTGCTTGGGTGGGGGAGATTTTTTGCAAGTGCATCTAAAAGATTTATAAGCACACAGCCCACTTTTTTTTTCAATTGGGGGCATGTGCTCCTAAATCCATTAAGCTCTTTTCAAAATCTATTATTTTTTTCTTTTTCTTTTTCCACTAACATGCATAACTATCTGATTACTACCAAATACAGTATGTCATGCTTTAATGCCTACAATAATTTAACGCTCTTAAAAATTTAATAAGATTATTTAATAAAATACTATCCTGTATTTTTTTTAATTCCAGTAAGTGCACCCTGTTTGAAAGGGATATGTTGTCTTTAATTATTAAACTAAAAAACAAAATACCCCCACACTACATTTGCTTCTAACAGAACGATGTGGAGAAACCACGGGGAAGTGGGTGGGGGAGAGGGGAGGGAAAGTGGCTTTAATTACCTGCACTGGTTTGCAATGGGATCTGTCGAAAACCAGGGTGGGGAAGAACAACCCTGTGGCATCTTTCTCTGCAGAGAAATAATTTTATATATTTTCCCTCTCTTAAGTTTTTATAATTGAAAAACAAGCAAACAAAACTCCTGCTTATTCTAGTAGTTTCCTTTTCATTTCAGCTTTTCTAAAATAGGAAATAATTCTAAAAGAGTTACTAAGAGGATGATTTATTTAAAAGAGAACTACAATTAGTAGCATATGAATTATGGGTAACATTAGATTTAACTTTTCCCACGTGAATGGGGAAAAGTCCTTGAAGGCATGGATGCAAATATAAAAATATTAAAAAAAATCTAAATAAAGCTTATTTTAAAGTATGAATGAATTCTATGTGATTTAATTGTTTCTAAGTTGTGTTTGTTAGGCCTGGATCCTTGGCTGTTCCAGGTGATTAAATCTGATACTGACACGTACTGTGATACAAATTAAGTATTTATACTTTTTGCCACCAGACTAGTTGAAACAGCTATTTGTTCATTTCCTCAGAACCAGAGTTTGCCCAATATGGTGACTTGTTCCAGCCAGTTAGGGAGATTATAAAGTTTCAGAAACTTGACTCAACACACACATCCAAAAGCAACAGCTTTGGAATCTGACGACTGATTTTTTTTTTTTTAAGGTAGATTCCAAGATTCTCAAAGATCTGCCTGGGGGTGGGAGAGAGAATCAAGGCCTACAGACAATAACTTTCATTTCCTCTAAAAAAAATTCACCTTCGCTGTCCAGTGTTTTCCAGCCCTGAGTGTAACACCTCCTTGTGGCTGCGTCCACCTTAACAAAAGAAAGGGGGAAAATATTTCAGTTCATGACCTGCCTATGAAAAATTGCATATTTAAATTGAAATCATTCCCTAGATTAGATCCATGGATATCCACGGCTCATTTTTGCAGATACAAATGTGGATACCCAGAGCAGGTCTTAGGGGCGGGCCGCAACCGCATTTCGGCCGAACCTCCCGAAACCTCCTTCCAGGTTGCCCTGGTTACTCCCCGGGTGGTGGGTTATTTCTTTTTTTGCTTGACAAATTTTTTGAAACCATCTGGCTGGTCGCCCTGGGCCCCCAATTGGTTAGGTCTGGCCCTGTGGATACCAAGTTTGTATCTAGAACCCTGCGAATTTGACACTTTTTATCTGCAGGGATCTTCATCTGTGGATATGGATATGCGCGGCTGATTTTTACAGACATCAATTTTCTATCCCACAAGACCTTATCCCAGACAAGACAGCAGGCTGGAGGGACCCTGCCTTGCTTCTCCTCTGAGGAGGAAAAACATGCGTACCCCCAAATCAATAAGCTATTGTTTGCTGCTTGTGGCAGTGTAAATACCAGCTAATCCCGGAGACTAGACATGTCCCCAACTCGCAGTCCATAACCAGTTGAGGTTATAGTTGTAAGCTACCCTACACCCTCTTTCATCTGGTGCTACAGTCTATATCCGGTTTAAAGGAAAGCTGCTTAGGCATGACCTGGCTTTCCCAACCCCGTATGGAATTGAAATGCTTCCCCCATTTTCAACCCCAAGGTTTGGCTGCACCTGAATGCAGCACCACAGGGGGAACGAACACAGACAAGGTTAGCTAGAAAGTGAAATCAATTAGCAGCTGCTTCTGAAATGGACCGATCTGGTTTCATCCTCCGTACTGAGCAAAATGCAAAGAAAAACAAAGAATCAAAGCCGCTGAAAGAACTATGTGGTTAAAACTTTTTCTTTTACAACCCTAGACAGAGTGAGTAATACAAAGCCAAATTGTAGGTCAGATTCACACACTGCCCTCTGTCTCCTATTGCGATATAACAGAGCACCTGTCAATCAAATACATCTATCCCAAGGTAGCAGACTCACCATTTGACCTTGCTCCAGTTCCGCTATGAGGAGGGGTGGGGGAACAAAGCAACAAAAGTCCTTGTCTGCCCCTTGCCCTGTTGTAGAACACCACAGTGTGTATGAGGGGGTGGGGTCGGGTGACTTAAAGGGGAGAATGTGGGGGCCAGGCAGGAATGAGGGGGAAAGAGGGAAGTGGAGATTTAGGTGGAGCAAAAAATTATTGTGAAAACTGCAAAAGAGGAGGATGAGAGAGAGTAACGTGAGGAAACGGAGATGATGGGCAGAAAACCTGACTAACTTTTGCCTCAGAGGGAACTGTCATTGAACTGTCTGTGAACATGTTGAATAGCATAGCACTCAAAAGTGAGGGAAGTGACAGCAGGCGAGTAACCTAGTTTTAGTAGAGGAGACCTAAGAAATACTTAGCTAAGGCAGCCAGCTGTGCAGCTGCAGGACAAGCTGCAAATCCCAAACAATCCTTGAAAGCCACCTGCTTGGTTCTGTAGAAAAACTGAAGCAAGCCAGTCTCTTGAGAGAGTCCAACAATGAAGCTGAACTTTGCCACAGCACACGGGTGTTTGGCTCTCTTGCGTTTGACATAGTACGGAGCCAGCTGTAAAGGGTTGGATGTGGAGCAAAATGATTCTAAAATCTGAGGATCTCTTTGCACCAGCGCATTTGTGTCAGGCTTATCTCTCCACCAATGC